CTCCTCCTCCTCCTCCTCCTCCTCCTCCTCCTCCTCCTCCTCCTCCTCCCCCTCCCTCCTCCTCCTCCTCCTGTCTCGGGGGCTCTGAGGCCTCAGCCTCAGGCTCCCTCTCCCCAGTGGGCTCTGCTGGCAGCTCCCTGGTCAGGAGATACTGTGCCAGCTGCTCCAGGGCCTCCAGGCTTATCTTCTGCAGGTGCTCCTTGTGCTCCTGCCTCAGCAGTTGCAGCACTGCCTTGGCGTCCTGGGGCCCAAAGTGTCTGGCGAGGACCTGGCCCAGATGTTGCCACAGGGGCTGGAACTGGAGGGCCTCCTCGGGTGCCGTCTTCTCCAGGGGCCGCATGATGACGTTGATGGAAGCATTGGGCCCGATGCAGTAGTCGGAGAGACGCTTGTCATCCGCCAGGAGCTGGCCGCGGAAGAGCAGGTGCTGCTGCTCCTCAGGCACCTGCAGCCGCTCTGACACCAGCTTCTTCAGCATGGCCACGCTCTCTTGCCCTGACACCTTCAGGCTGCATCTCCGCCCAAGGAGCAGCTTGACTGTGAGGAACATCAGGCCGAGAGCAGAATCAGGAGGGATCCATGCTCCGGCGGCTGCCCTCAGGGTTAAGGGCTCTGCAGGAGGAAGTGGCTTCTCCCTATCAATGGAGGGCGGTGGCCCAGGAGGCCAAGCGCTGGCCCAGGAGGGCAGCCATTGGCTAATGTGTGGTGATGTAACAATGCTGCCTGCCCCAGGCCCGTTCCCAGAGCAGAACTTCAGGGAACCTAGAGGGGCATTGTGAACACAGACCGTCCTTCCTCTGTGAGAGGAGAAAGGAGGGATGAAGAGGAGAAAGGGAGGGCCAGGAAAGAAAACACAGGACTGGGAGAAAGGAGAGCAGGAGACGGAACAGGAGGGCCCAAAGGACAGGGTGGCAGAAGGAAACATGTCCACATTGTCTCATTCAGCACTGCGTACTGGGTGTCCTCTGCTAGGATCCAGCCCCAGGGAGAAATCGTGTCACAGTTGATACTTTAGATAGCTGATAGATGGAGCTTCCAGTCTAGAGAGCCGGCTAACATTTATCTCTTGGCTGTTTTCTCACGGACTGATGCGCTGCCAGCCAATCAGCTGCGCCTTCCCCGCCTCCCTCCTCCTTTTCCCTCCCCCTCTTCCCTCCCCAACCAAAGGAGCCTTATTATTATTTCTTTCTTTTTTTAATATATATATTTTTCATCTCTTTTATTTTTATTATTGGCTCTTTTGGGGGCAGGATTGAGGGAGGTAATTAGGTTTATTCATTTATTTACTAATGGAGGTACAGGGGATTGAACCCAGGGCTTCAAGCATGCTAAGCACTCACTCTACCACTGAGCTATACCCCCCACCCCGCCCTTATCATTTCTGTTCTTCCTCAGAAACGGCTCCAAAATCTGCCCCTCCTCTGCACCTCCACTGATTCCCCACCCAGTTCAGACACTCACCTTCCTCCAGCCTCGGGCTTGTGGCTCAGAACTCACAGCTCATCTGCTCCTCCCAGTCCTGCCCCCTTGGGGCCATTCATGCTGCAGCCAAAGGGGTCTTCCTAAACCAAAATGATATCAAGTCACTCCTCTGAGTGACATCATCCAGTTTCATCCTTTTGCATTTGGAATCAAAACCAGCTGCTCAGCATGGCATCCAAGGGCATTACGACCTGGCCCTGCTTCCACCCAGCTTTCCCCACTTCACCATCCTCCACTCCAGCCACACCTACCCGCCTTTTTCTTTACTTGCTTGTTTCATTTGAACTCTTCGAATCATCCTTTAAAATGTAGGGCAAAAACCACCTCTTCTGGTGCAGCCATTATGGAAAACAGTCTGGAGGTTCCTTAAAAGACAAAATAGAGTTACCACATGATCCAGCAAATCCCACTCCTGGGTATATATCCAGAGAAAACTCTTAACTCAAAAAGGTACGTGCACCCCAATGTTCATAGCAGCACTATTTATAATAGGCAAGGCATGGAAGCAACCTAAATGTCCATCAAGAGATGGCTGCATAAAGAATATGGGGTGTGTACACCATAAAATATTACTCAGCCATAAAAAAGAATGAACTAATGCCATTTGCAGCAATATGGATGGACCTAGAGATTATCATGCAAAATGAAGTAAGTTAGACAAAGACAAATATCACATGATATCATTTATATGTGGAATCTAAAAAAAATGATACAAATGAACTTACAAAGAAGTTCAACTACAAAGAAGTAACAAATAAGAAATAGACTCACGGACACAGAAAACAAACTTATGGTTACCAACGAGGAAAGAGGGGGAGGGATAAATTAGGAGTTTGGCATTAACATATACACACTACTATATATAAAATAGATAAACAACAAGGACCTACTGTATAACACAGGGAACTATATTCAATATCTTATAATAGCCTACAATGGAAAAGAATCTAAAAAAGAACGGTTGGAAACCTCTCCCCTCCTCCATGAAGCCTTCCCTGCTTTCCCCAGTCCTGGGTAGAGGTAATCCCACCTCCTTCTGTGTAATCATTACTCCCCTTGATACCTGGGTTGATGCACCTACATGTGTCTGTTTCTCCCTCACTGACTCTCAGAGGCCGGGAATGGGTCTTATCTGTCTTTGTATCCCCTGCCTCCAGCACACAGAGCCTGGCACACAGAAGGCCTCGTAGGCATGTTTGCTGAATAAAGAAGATAAAATTTTGACATGCTGAGCCATGCAGGAGGAGGCAGGGTCATGTACGGCAGGCTGGGGCAGGATATGAACCTGTTGGCAGCCTCTCCTTCGCCCCCACCTCTCCCCTAGAGGGATGACAATCCAAAATTACATTTAAAAAAATCAGAAAGTGATTCCAGTCTTTACCAATGGATCTTCTATATATCCTTTAAATAGCCAACTCCCTTGGTGCATCTGAAATAAGATAAATTTGCAAAAGTTTATGTAGTGTTCGGGGAGGGGAGGGGCTGTGTACTTCGTGATGGCAGGGCGCACAAGGAGCTGAGCGTGCTGAGGGAGCGCAGGGTGGATGAGGTTTCTCAGGGACCATCTGGGAGTTCCCAGCATCTGGTGGGGAGGACTATGTGGTGAGCAAACCATGGGATAGACAAGATTGGCGGGGGTGGAGAGGGGGTGGAGAGGGGGTGATGCCCTGAGTAGAGCTAATCTAGGAAGGCTTCCTGGGGGCTGAAGTTTGAGTCATCTTCTGCAGGAGATGAAAGGAAGGTGAAATGGGGAGGGGAGTGGCCTGCAATCTCTCTCCCAGACTATGGGACATCTGAGGAAAGAGGCAGGGGCCAGAGTTCCATGCATGGAGGAAGAGAACCAGACACCTGCCTCCAGCGGACTCATCTGCCTGTGACAGTGGCAGCTACTGGGGGAGATGTATTGGGCCTGGGTTTCTAGAAGCACATGAGAGCCACAGCTCAGGCTCCATCTCCCCAAGGCCAGTGGTCACTTGCAGGCAGGTGCCTCTGTGACAGGGACTTGGAGGGCCACAGCTGCTGGGTCACACTTTCCAAATCAGCTCCCTGGGCTAAAGAGTCCCAGTGTCCTACTGGGCCATGAAGACAGAAGCTTCGGAATTGGCAATGTCCCTGGAAGCTGAGAGGTGGTCACCACTGACCCCTGCCTCTGTGCCTGGAACCCCCATTGCCCTCCCCAAGGGGGACAGTGGAGGCACCTTGCTGGGCCCCCAAATCATATTTGGAGCTTGGAAATTTCAGAATTTTCCCCATGTAATTGCCTGTCTTCATTATGCAATTAGCATGAGAAAATGTAGTTGTGTAATCAGAGCATGCACTCAGACGACAACTGCCATAATTACAGGGGCAGATTAGCAGGAATGAGTGGGTTCAGTGACTGGAGGGAAAGGAACAAATGTGTACAGGGAGAACACTGGTCAGTGGTGGGTCCGAACCCCTCCTGTGAACAACTATAAATGCAATTGTGTCACTGGGAAACCAGCACAAAGCCTGCAGGAGGGAAGAGGGAGTCGGGGGAGGGTGCTTTGGGACAGATCTGTGAACACTTTTGTGTCCAGAACCCTTGGCATTACTCCTGGACATTGGTACACTAAGGGCGTGAACTCTGTAGGATACAAGTCAAATGTCCAGCTGCCAGCCTGGGGCTGCTCTGAGCAGCCTGCTCCTTGAGTCTCATTTGCTTCCCCTGTCAAATGCCTCCCCTCCCTGGCAGGGTGGCTATGAAGGCCACAAGAGGCAGGTCACGCCCCAGGACCTAGCACAGTGTTTGACCTATGAAGGCACAGTGTGTATTTTACATAAACTTGTAAACATGCGCTCTGTCAACCCCAAATGTCGAGGAATACCTCATCGCACCTAGATATGTGCCCAGGTGTGATTCCCCACGGGCTGGGGTGAGCTCTCCCGCTTGCATGAGTAGGCAGGCAAAGCAGCCCTCTGCAGACCTAGCAGGCCAAGGGGAGGAAGGGGCCCGGAGATGCTGGCTGACAGCTACAGGTGGGGCGCTCTGGCTTTGGCTAGGCTACAGCCACTGCCCTGGGGATGCACAAAAGGCTCATGAAAAAGGTCTGTTATGCTTCTGCCCACCTCACTCCTCAGGCAAGTTATCAAGTTATTATTGCACTTTAATAATGTCACACAGGCTTTCCAGGGGAGGGGGCGGGGGTGGAGGACTGGGAGATGCTGAGAAATGGGGATGGAGACAAAGCCAGGAGAAGAAAGGCAGATGGAGCCACAGAAAGAGTGGAGAGGGGAGGGGGATGGAGAACAAGGAAGCTGAGCACAGGAGATACTTAGAAAGGGGAGTTGTCCAGAGGGAGGAGAGGAGGGGAGCGGGGAGGGCGGCAGAAACAGAACGAAGACGGCACAAAAGGACACTTGTGCCAGGAAGGAAAGAGGGGGAGAAGAAGAAACAGGAAGGAATTGTTACAGCAAAAAAAAAGGACAATAAATACCTCTGCAAGCCCCCTTGAGAGAGAACAGCGTCCTTCTCCCCCTCTCCTTATAGTCTGGAAATGGTTCACGAGAAAACTTTGGCAGAGAAAGTGGAGTCCCGGCAGCTGTTCATCAACCAGGCACGGAGGGCCTCAAGTCGTGGTTCCAGCACCCCGGCCTCCTCCACTCCCCAGTTCAGCACCTCCTGAGCATGCATAGTGGCGGCGCTGCAAGGCCTGCAGGAGAGAGGCAAGTCCCCAGACGCAGCCGGGCGGCCAGGGCTGCCCTCAGGCCCACATCGTGCTGCTTGAGACCCCGCTCAGCCTGTGCCTCCCACCACCTGTCACCAGGGACCCCCTGCCCCTTTGAAGGGGGTCCCTCAGAGCTGCTCTGTGCAGGCCCGGCGCACAGTAGGGGTTTGCCCCTCACCCACTGGCTGGCACTCGTTGTCTCAGCAGCTGCACTGAAGTGGGTCTTTGCTGCTCCGACACAGTTTAAGGGGCTAAGACTGAGGCAGATAGGCAGGCAGGGAAAGGGAGCTGGAGCGGGAGGGCAGAAGGTGGCAGGGTCTCAGGAGCCCTGGGGAACCGGGCTGCAGTCCAGGCCCTGCCCTCTCTGACTGTGGGTTCCCCA